TGTGGGTAGGAACCTGCAGAGCTGTAGCCGGTCTGTGGGCTCCCAGGGTGGGTGGGGATGAAACAGGTCACTGTGGCTCTGGGATATCATCATTCCCCAATGGATGCTCCATCTTTTCCTTGCAGAGACCCTGCCCCGACCACCCCTCACACAGCAGCAGCCTCCGGGGCCCCCTTGGCCACGCAGACGACCGCCTGGCCGACGGCCTGGACCTGCCCCAGCTGCAGACTGGGGACTGGCTCATTTTTGAGGACATGGGTGCCTACACCATCACCACGTCCCCCCCAGGGGCTCCCCAGCCGCACATCACCTATGCCATGTCCCGCATGGCCTGGTAAGAGGCAGTCCTGAGTGAGCAGCGTGACAGGGATGGGATGAATCCCATGGGAAGTGCTGTCTTGATTTCCACCTGGGCTCTTTGCCCAAGGGAGAGGGTCAAATCTGAGTGCCAGAAGCTGGAGATTCAGGGTAAAAACCTGGTTTCAGAGGCAAAGCTCCTCTTTTTTTTTAAGCCTTGACAGACTTGAACCAGTTCTTTGCTGGGGAAGCCACCAGCAGCTCACCTCTGGCTCTGGGGGGACACGGGAGCCCCTGAGCTCCCCCATTCCCAGCCCTATCCTGCAGCATTTCACCAGGGGCTGCTCCCTGCCGTGTCTCCTGCCCACAGGAAAGCTGTCCAGCTCTTTCTTGGGAAGCCACCACAACCAGAAGATGACCATGAAAGTATCTGCACCCCATTGTCCTGCGGCTGGGAGATGGCAGAGTCACTCTGTGTCACCCCAGTCTTCGCTCCAGCCGGGATCATCTGAGCACCAGGAGCACGGGACACATCCTGCCTGCCGCCGGCATTGCCCCGGCATCGCCCCGTGGTGAGACCTTTGAAGCTTGTGCCATAAAGCCTGTTCCTCCTGCCCATGTGATGTGTGTGCCTCTGGGGGAGCAATGGGGCCGAGCAGGTTTGGGATCTGGTTTTAGGAGTTATGGAATTACTGGTTGTCCAGAGCTTTGGAGGAGGCATTTCCCAACTGGGGGTGGCCTGGAATCAGGCTGCAATAAGCAGTTGGATGCATAAGGAGGCTCTGCTCGTAGGGAAGGTGGGGTTGTCCACCCAAACCTTGGACACTGTTGGGATATGGGAATAGGGAGGGTGAGTTCCAGGCTGGGGGCGCTATGGGGGGACTTGTGGCACCTGCTCTGCTCCCTGGGCTCTTGTCAGCCCTGGTGGAGCACTCTGCCCTTGGGAGGTGGGAGGGGGGTCCTGCAGAGAGCCCAAACACCAAAGAACCGGGACACTGCGAGGCCCCAGTGACTGGGAGCACTGGGAAGCACTGGGGGGGGGCCTGAAGCGTGGGGATGGGGCGCACAGGGAGCACTGGGAGGACACTGGGGGCGCTGGGAGGGCACTGAGAGCGCTGGGAGGGCACTGGGGGCACTGGGAGGACACTGGGAGGA